CACTGGAGGTTAATCTAGAAAATAAAACGGCATCAACACCATCCTGCTATCCTTCCTTCTGGCAAGTGTCTCCCTGAAAAAGAGGTGACATTGTAAAACTAAAGTTATTTATGGACAATGGAGGCTCAGCTTCTGGACTAGGCTTGACCTGGCCAGTGTTGATTTCCTGGGTCAGCAGGCATCTCTGTTCCTCTGAAGGCTCATGGTCTTTGTTTTATGCTAATGAGGAACAGGGTGTGCAAAAATGATAGCTGTGACGAGGTAAAGCCCCGCTCGGTCATCCGCAACATGTACCAAATCACGAAGAAATCTGCAATGATTGATAGTGGCCATGTTCCTCTCCTCTGTACTCTACTACATGAAGGGATTGTCTGATTCCTGTTACATACTGAGATTTTAACTACATCTCTTATAATAAAAATAACGTTTTGTTATTCTAATGGGCAAACTTCAAATGGAATACTAGCCTTCCTTAGAATGTAAATAAAATTTAGGTTACAAACCTGAAGGGCAGAGTCTAGTGCCTCAGTATAGTTTCTCCAGATTGAGGGAAGGGGGATTATTTGTGCAAACAGGAGCCCAAATGCCATCACACAGCTCTGCAGCTCCATGGAAGTGTGACAGCCCGCTCTGAGCCTCCCTGTCATCCTTACTCCAGGACCTGCCCCCTGGGAAAACTGTTTATCCTCAGCTACCTGGCTCTGAGGGTCTCCAGTACAAACATTCTTAGTCTGTGTGATGTGGTGGGTCAGGGTCCCTTTGAAGCAGCTGTGTGGTCATCTCCTTGAAGCAGAGTCCTGGCTTTGTTACTCCCTCACAGAACTGGCTGGGTGCTGGGCATCTGGAAGCTGATGCTGACAGTGAAAGTGGAGAAATTTGGATTGGGAGGTAACTTAAATGGTGTCAGCCAGTTCACTGCCACCCAGGTCTGAGTTCCTTTCATGACGGCCTTTGCAAGCACCAGCAGAACCTCCAGAGATGGGGGAATTGGCTCCTACCCCATAAGCTAATTTGTCTTTGGACCCATTATGCAGATTCCTTGTTGCCTATGGCCCTGTCTGTCACTGCTCAGTCTTTCTGTAGCATCAGATGCTCCCTGACAATGAAGATTGGTTGTCATGGATTTCCTCTTGGGGCTGGACGGGCAGGTGTCTGAGCATTGGATCACCATAGCAAAACCCTCCATTACACTATCAAGGGACACCTGGAACAGCTGAGAATCAGATTCAGACGGACGGATGCTTTCTGACACGTTTGGGATGCTGTCAGTTCCAGGCCACACAGTGATGTGCACTCTGGCATCTGTGTGGCCTCCTCCCATTCCTCCTTGGTGATACTCTTGGTGCTACTTTAGGTCTGTCACTGCCCTCTCTGATTTTTCTTCCCAGCTGGTGTGGGCTGGGACTCTCAATAGCTGCTCCTATGCAAATGTGTCCACAGTTGGCACAAGTGGCATCAGGGTTGGATTTTTAAGAGCCTTGAGGTGAACAGTACATGTGGACCTGGAGGAGTTGGGGGTGTGTGTGGTCCCCATGGAGGCTGTTCTAAGCTTTGGAGGTTGTTGACTGCATCCTGGATACATAAGGGCATCAAATTAAGCAGTTTCTGGATGAATGAGTTTGTCATAGAATTTTTTCAGTTGTGTCTTTGTATTTCCAAGGCTGTGCAGTGGTGCTAGTAAGGAATTTCTGAGGAGGAGCCCCTGAATGCTTTTTGATGATTAGTTAGGACACGCTTGCAATTCGGGCTGGGTATTTCCACAAAATCAACGTTCTGATGCTTTCTTCTTTCTACTTCAACTATCTGATACATTTGCTATTAACTTACATAGTAAAACTTCCTAAAGTACATGAACATAATAGACTCAATAGAAGCCAAATTCATAGAAACCTAAAATTATGAATCATAAAAGTTTGGGAACTTTTAAAAAGTGAAACTATAGTGCCAAAAAAGCTCCAAGCAGCCTTCGCAGCAAAGGAGAGGATAACATGAATAGGCATGTTAAAACTGAGGGGAAAGGAAGACTTGGCTAGAAAACAGTGGTTTCTTCATTAGCCTTGGAAGGGAGAGTGGCTTGGGCATTCTGCGTGCCTGAGACCATGTAGGTCAGGGCCCCCCGTGACCTCACGAACGCTTGGAAGGAACCTTTATGAGATGGGCATGGGGGCCCCTGCTGAGACCCACTAACAGGGTAGGTGGGGTTGGGCAGCAGCCAGGTTCTTTCCCAGGGAGGCATTGAGAAGGTTTAAACCACATAATAACAGTCTATCCACTGAGGAAGTCGCCAAGCTTGGACTTGCTAGGATTTTTATTTACATGAAGCAATTTCTTCAGCTCTAAGTGTATAAAACAGTTTATTATAGCATATCTTTCCTCTGGTACCCCCAGCCTTTCTGTTGAGAAAATACTCTCATATTCACTCTATTCCCAGTCGGGAAGCAGAGGAGCATTTGGGGAAGAGAGCAGGAACCTTGTAACGAGTTCAGAGTCCTCCAAGGCTGATAGTCTCCTGCGTGGGGAGGACGTGCCTGAGGATGATGCCCACGGTGCTACGTGCCCTCCGCATGATTGTGATGGGGCCTTGGCTCACCTGCAGACTCCAGAGGTGGCAGCTGGAGGCCAAGAAGACTTGGTGCACACATTATCGGGGTGTGACAGGTTGGAAAGAGGAGCCTCAGGATGGGCTGGTTTGCCCTTTACGCGCAGTACTGATGAGCAGCTCCTCCTGGGGCAGTGTCTCTACTGCTCGGTAGCTGTGTACTGAGGGACAGCAGGGGAGGGACAGCAGGTGAACACATGTGGGCTGGGCAGCCCTTCCTGCCTCTATCTCTGGATTCCATATGGTACTTCAAAAATATTCCAAAAGTAATCATCAGTACTGAACATGAAAGACTCTTTTTTTTTGGGGGGGGGGCATTATTACTGAAATATCACAGTATAACAACCATTTGCATAGCATTTATATTGTATTAGGTGGTTTTAGTAATTAAGTGTGTATATAGGACATGCAAATACTGTTTTATCTAATTCCACCCATGGACTGTGGTATTCATGGGGGTTTTGAAGCCAATTCCCAGTGGATACTGAAGATGACTGCATAGCAGTTTCAGGTCTTGCTAAAGGATGTGAAAAGCCAGGTGTGGTTGTGAATGCCTATAATTTCAGTGACTCAGGAGGCTGAGGCAGGAGGATCACAAGTTTGAGGCCAGCATTGGGAACTTAATGGGACTCTTTTTTTTTTTTTTAAACACAAACTAGGGATATGGGGACAATGACTTGTGGTTAAGTGCTCCCTGGGTTCAATCCTTAGTACAAAAAAATAGAGTTAAAGGGTGATTAATCAGTGATGAGGTATTAGCCAAGGGCTCTTCAGATGGTGTCATGGAGGCGTTCTCCATGAGGGGATTCTTTTCAGCCCTGAAGGATGAGAAAATGCCAGGCCTGGGGTTGGGGGGTCTAGTTCCAGGCAGAGAACAGCAAGAAGGAGCTGAGTCATGAATAAACTTGGTCTGTGAAACACTCACCTAATTGAAGAGCTGATGGAGGTAGTAAACTGAACAGGAGTGGAGGTGATCAGAGAGGAGGCTGGAGAGCGTGCAGAGGCCAGGACCTAATGACTGCAAGAGCCATTCAGGTTGCTGGCCATGACAAGGTCTAGGGATGGTGAGCAGGAGGGTCCAGTAGTTACTCTGGCTGCAGTGTGGACACTGGAGGCACAAGACTGGGGCTCAGGAGACTCAAAGGAAACTGTCACGTGCTGCTGGAAGTTGAGATAAATAGGCTTAGAGACGTGACCTTTGGGATTGACAACATGGAGTCCACTGTGGGTCTTGAAAAGACAAAAGTGGTGGTAGTCCCATGAGTGAAGTTAATGTGAAGTTAGAAAGGGCACTCAGGGGCCATAGTCACTCTTCAGGGAAGTTTTTCTATGAACAAGAGTTGAGAACCCTAGGGCACTGGCTGGAAAGAGATGTGGAATCAAGGAAAAGGTAGTTTCTTAGGTAAGACAGCAGAAAAACAAAGACAAGGGGACAGAGGTGCTCATGACTTTAGAGAAGTGACTTGGTGTAGGTGATGTTCTATTCTGTTCCCTGTGGACTTCCTGCTCCTTCCCTGGAGTTACCTGGCATCTCCTTGTGTCCCTACCACTTTAATGTGAGCAGATACCTCTGGGAGGCACTGGCTCTTCCTCTTGTGCAGAACAAATGAAGATGATGTAGCTGACTGACCACAATATGGCAATAGAGGCTCAGGGGTAGGTGAGGGGGTCATTGAGTGAGTGACCTGTTAGTCAAGTGGTGGATTCATTCAATGAGCAAACATCTCTGAGTCCACTCTGGGCCAAGTGCAGTTTTAGACTTTGGAGAAGCAATGTAAATAAGCCTCCCTCTTCCCTTGAAAGAATTCAGTACTATGGAGGTTGCAGGGGTGGGCACCAAAAGGCATATGGCTTGGGTGGAGTGTACAGTTCAAGATCTCTTAAGTCTGTGTGGCCCCTCACAACTGCGGAGCATGAGGGGCCTAAGAGCATGGGTTCCTAGGTCCCAGGGATCCTCCTTCACCTTCTCAAAAATGGGTGATCTGGCTCAGGTTCCTGTTACCCAACCTGGCTGTTGTGACCTAGGGCAAGACATTTAACAGTGTTGCTGGGATCAAATGTAGTAACGAACTGAGTACACACTGTCCCATTTGCTGGAACCTGTGAGGTGTATGCTGTGCAGCCAAATGTCCCACATTCAAATTCTGGTTCTATTTCCTATTAGCCCTGTGACCATAGACATGGTCCTTTGTGCCTCAGTTTTCTGGTCTGCATAATGGGGAGAATACTCATCTCTGTCTGCTGATGCATCCAATGAAAGATTAGTGAAGGAATCACCTGTGTAATTGCTAAGGGGAACACCGAGGCCCGGGAGGTACTGGGTTTGGATTACGGTTAGGAGAGTGTACTCAAGTCCAAGGCCATGTGTGCACTGCCTGATGGTTTTGTTTTTTTCTTCTAGTTCCGCCTGGTGGTGAAGACGGCCCTGAAGCTGCTGCTGGTCTTTGTAGAGTACTCGGAGTCCAATGCACCTCATCTCATTCAGGCTGTCTGTGCCGTTGACACCAAAAGAGGTGAGCAGTGTGTTTGCCCCTTATGCCAAGGCAAAAATGTCTGTGGGGAGGATTCCACGTCTCACAGCAGAATGAGGAATTGGCACCATTTCCTGTATGGACATCTCACTGCAGGAAAAATTTAGGATGATCAGTACACAGAGATCGGGGCTGGAATGTGCTGGGCTGATGAAGGCCAAGTGCAAGAGCCTCCCCAGGGTGGTCAGGCACTGCTTGCCTTTACTCTTTCCCAGCTCCCACTGAAATCCACAGAGAACCAGCACCTTGGCCCCTTCCTCTCCCCACTCCACAGCACTTTCTTGATCCTGACTCCTAGACGTTCCTCAAACCTTTTCCCTCTTTCCCCATGTGCCTCTTTGCTCAGGCCACTCTGTGTCCCTCATCACCCTGAGTGCAATTGGAAGATTTTCTAAAACAGATCTGATCATGTTCCTCATCTAAAACCCGCCATCAGCTCCCATGCCTACTATGTGAAGCCCCACCCCATGATACCCTTCACCTGGCTTAACGAACCACCTGCCACTCATTTCCTGTCTGCTCTGCACCATCCATTCCCACCTTATTTGGGTGCTCTCGGGAACCTAACGTTCTTTGCTGTATTATCACCATTGCTGGTGTGCCCTGCTCACAGGCAGGATCTGTTTCCCAGCTTGGTGTCCTAGCTCCACCCCCACTCCCACCCCTGAGCTGGCAGGTGGCCAAGAGCAAATTCTAGATATGGATTAGTGTGTGCCATGCTAAGGCCTCTCTAATGGCATGAAGCTGACACTAAAATTCTGGAGATTTTATTATGTTTTCCTCCTTAATGGAACCCAATTAGGATTATCACCATCCTCACAAAGACTTTTCTCTTCATGATTATAACAGTAACATTACTGTAGAAAATTTGGGGAAAAAAATGTAAAGGCAATCAAAAATCACCTTTGATCTCAACAAAGATAATAGTGAACATGTTGATGTGTTTTCTTAGAGCTGTGTGAGCATATGCAGAGTTCTGTACAAATCTGCCTAGATGTGACAGTCAGGAAGAACAAGGGGCCTAATATCGCTTTCAGTTCAATCCAGTTGTGTCTGAGTCAACATTACTCTGAGATATCCTGTAAGAAGTTGAATCCAAATGCAAAGGGAGGTAGTTTCCTAGTTACTTCGAAAGTTAGGATATAAGTTAATGCAAGCCATTCAGGATCCTAAATTGGGGCTCCACGAACACACAGGCAGACATCGGCCCCAGGCACGATGGGTCCAAGCCAGGAGACAACTCCAGGCCTCAGTGTGGGTGTGTGATGAAGAGGAAGCTTAGTGCACAGACAGGGTCTGGGAGGTGGGTCCCAGAAAGGGCAGGTTTCCCACCACCACAGCATCTTGCCACCTGGTGCCAGATAAGAGCCTTTTGGCCAAAAGCAGATCCTGTGCTAGCCAAGAGTCCTTAATTAGGATGGCTGATGGCTCAGAAACCAGGTCTGGTTTTTCCAAGCCAGAGGTGGGCGTTTGGGAAGATAGTAAGGTAGCTCCCTCCATTTGTCCTTGGAGGAATTGTTCTCCATCCTCCGACTCTGGAGGTTACATTAGGATAATTAATGGGCTCTGTCATCTTGTTCTAGATTTCAGGTAACATGTGGGCTCTTGCCATGGCAGCATGTTAGAAGGGGGAACTTTCTCATGACCTTGGCGTCATTCTTTGGCTTTGCTGAGCTGGGAGCTCAGAGCCTCCTTCCTTCATAAGAGGCCTGTTGTGAGAGTGGGAATGATCCTGAGATTAACCCAGGACTTGGTGCCCCACATCCAAGATTCAGCCACAGCCCTAGCCAGGGGCACTCTGCTATCCTGAGTGTCTCCACCAAGCCAACATGATGGCCATCTTTTTCAGTTAGTAAAAATAGAAAAGCTAACGGATTGTTTTCTCAGTTTTGTGGGGTTTTCTGCCCATAAAATGTCTTATACTTTTGCCAACTGCTATCATCTGTCTGCTACTGCACTAGCAATGAAAAAAAAAAAAAACACTAATGGAACTCAGAAATAGCTTATCACACGTGGTTCAATAGCATGTTTCTTTATGGACATGTGTGGTCTTGGCTGTGATTTTATAATACATACATATAACATCATCCTATTTTACTGCTAGTAAAATTATTCCAGAATCCTATGATGGAATTAAACATATAAATATGTCATGGTTTTCTGCAGAGAGCAACATGACTGCCAGGTGTGTTTCCACCTAGGATTTAGAGGCAGCTCTCCAGTTCTCACATGGACCAGAGAGCAGCCCCAGGTGCCAGAGGTGACCAGGGACAAACTGAGCATGTCTCTTTGTGCACACATATACAAACAAGCCATAAATTTTACTCAGAGTGGCTTTAGATTCCTTCCCCAGCAGGGTGAATGGCATGCTATAGACAATCCTTTTTTTTTTTTCAGACTAGAAAAACTGTCAGATTCAAGGAATCAGCACATAAAACCAACAAAATAAACTATAGGTCCTCAAACATCATTACCACCTCAAGCAAATGCAGTTAGTCCGGAACAGAGTCCTCTGATTGCTCTACAAACATCATGCAATCATGCGTGGTTGCCTGTGGTTTAACCAGAAGGCTCATTCACAGTGTAGCCAGTTTGCTCTGTGGCCTAGAGTGGGCCACTTAAAGAACAGGGATAAAACCTGAGGTGGTCAAATTCCGTATGGGTAGTAATTATTATTTATGAATGACTGAAAATTTATATTACCTCATTTGACCCAGGCAATTGGACTTCCGTTCAAGAGCTAGAGTAAAAAGGTTAATTGAAGTTAGTTCCTGGGCATGGCTTGTTATTGCACCTATTTGCTGGGTCCCCTAGATCATCTTCTCTTCTGTTTGCATTTTCAACCACTTTTCCCTTCTGGTGACAGGCCTGGCCTGGTGGGAAGAAAGGCAGCAGAGCTCCTGGTAGCCCTTGAGGGGGCTTCACTTTGTTACTATATCAGAGACTCCTTTTCTTTGAGGTCTTCCCTATGGTGACTGACAGGGTGTTGGTCAAGAACTCACTGCTCCCTGAGCAGAGGACCTCCCCTCCGTTTGCCTCTCCCACAGAGGATGGGGCAAGGAACCAGACAGGGTAACTCATTTCAAAATTTCTGTCATAAATCTCAGGTCATATTAACTTGGCTCAGCATAGCTTTTGAAGTTCTGTTTTTCATTTGAATGTAAAGTGATGAGATATGACATAATTCTTAAACATGTGTCACACATGATTAACGGGGTTGGGAGGGTGGAGTTCGGCCATCCTTTTAGGCGATCTGTTTCTGCTTGAGAACATACTGATGGGTGAGGAATGTTCAAAGCCTGGTGGAAACTCGAGGTTGACAGAACTCCAGCTCCATCTCCTCTGTCCTTTACAGAAATGCCTCTGGGGTGTATATCCATTATGGAGAAAGGCATGGAGCACACCAAGAGAATCTTCTGTTCAAGTGTTAGGCCAGCTTGCGTGTGAATTGTGCTGCTGTCTTATTTTGCTTTAGTTTTAACAGAGGCGAGTAGGAAAGTCCTGAGCCATTTCTCTCTGCTTATTTATTCTGGGTTAAGAGAGGCCCTGTGCTTTGGTGAAACGAGAGGGCTGGCTCAGGAGTCTGTAGAAGGTCCGCCCTTGGGTAACCGTGGATGTCACCACAAACCACTACCATCATAATTATAGCCACTGATGTTCAAGTGCCTGTTGTGTAACATGATTCTCCATATCTTCATGTATACTCAGTTATTTGGCAAGTATCCGCCATGCGTATGCAGACATCAAGAAATGACAGGCTTACAGAGCCTGTACTCCAGCATTTGGGGAGTCGGGGCAGGGGCGGGGAGAGCTTTCCAACTATCCTGTCATTGCTAAGGAAAAGACAAAGTGCTTTTTTTTCCCTCAGTGACACCTTGAAGAAATACTGCAAGGTAGATGCTTCCACATGAGTCTTCTGACTTGACCTTCATTCCACTGCTCTGGGGCCCAGTTTGTCTTACGTAAAGGGGTGGGGTTGAAGGGCTTATTTCGATACAAAAATGCCCCCAACACACATAGTGGGGAAGATGGAGGATGAGCTTAGACTAATTGGTACTGATGGGGCAGCTCCTAAGAGTCCCAAGTGCTGGTGCTTTACACAGGTCTAGCCTACACCCCACCAAAGTTGTTTTTGTTAAACCCAATGTTTTCTCCCCTTCGCCTTCATTCTAAATGGTACCAAACTATCAAAGGGAAGAGAGCATTCATCCCAGCAGCATGTAAATATATGCATGTTCCCAGACTTAAAATCCTTAAATGATAATAGAATCGGGAACCATAGATGAATAACACTTTTCTCAGTTAAAGTAAGCTCGTGTTTGAGTGTTCTAATCATAATGGATTAGATGATGTGCACGCACGCAGCGCACACACACGTATGTGTCCGTGGGATGGGGGGGGCTGTAGTCTGGCTACTCTGGGCTGCAGGCCTCTGCTACTTTTTCTGAGCCCTGTTGCCTCTTTAGCTTCAAAGTAAGAAACCAGGAAGCAGTTCTGGGTCTGCTAGTACTACTAGAAATTCTTGGCTCCAGTGTGTTCTCCCTTACGCTATGTTCCTTTTAACCACAAGTGGGTAACACACTGACATGTTTTATGCTGAGGTTTGGTGCTGTGTGTGAATGATAAGCAAGAGCAGAGGCACTCAGCTCTTGAGCTGCACCTGGATAGTGAGACCATAGGCCTACTGACTGCATTGATTGACTGTTACTTTGGTAGGGTTAAAGAACAACTATGCTGTGGTGTAGATTTAAAAGAACTTCAATATCAGCCAGGATAATTTGCCTACTAGCAAGGGAATGGAGCATGCCTTTGTGCTCAGTTTAAAAGGTAATGGAAGAGTGACTTGATAAGACTTTGTGTATCACTTGGTGGGAGAGCCAGAAGATCTCAATGTGAAACTGAATCTGTCTCACGTCTTTAATCCTCTTATTTCCTTACTGTGTGCATCTGCTATCTCATTCTTTTAAAATTGCTCTAGCTTTACCCACTTCCTACAGAAATCTTTATTACTCTTCAGCATTTTATTGAACACATTATGTGTCAGGTAAGAGCACAGAGATGAATAAGACAGGTATTTCTCTGACCTTGGGGAACTTGCATGTCAAGGCTGTTATCAGCTGTGAGTGACATAAACCATGCAAGGGTCAGCAGTTGGAAACTACTAAAGTTATTTCAATTTTACTTTCATCATGCAAAAATAAGCAGTGTCCCTTCAAGGCTTTTATAAAGAATTTCAGGTCCCAAACCAAGAAGCCAAGGGCAAGGCAATGCTTGCTTCACTTCAAACATTGCTCTCAGGCGTGGGAAGCCATGTCAGGAGAGTGTTTCCCCCTTTGCAATCTTGCCTTGTGGGTCCTGAATTTGATGCATTTTCTTGCCACCTCTGAGCCTGGGGAGAGCTGCTCATGGGCCTTCCCATACAGAGGCCACTCATGAGCCACCTCTTGTCCTAAGCCCTCTATAGCCACTCCCACTGGAAGATGCCTCCCTCACTAAGTGATGCGATTAGCTAAATGCCTGCCTCTCTTCAGCTGTTCTGGGCCCGTATTTATTCTTATGTCTAACTGCTCCTGTAGATGGTAAACCTATTGCAGACAGCTGCCCACTAGACTTTGTAACTGGCTGATACCAAGGGACTAGAGGAGCATTCTTTTTTTTAAGATGTTTTTCAGATAGGTGAGTCACTGCTAGAGTGCACGAAGAACTTCTGCATGCCATGGGACATTCAGAAAACACCTAGGGGGAGTTTTCCCAACCTGAGTAAAGTGTATGGCCCAAAAAGTTGCACATGAAAAGAATTTTAAAAACTGCATATTGGATATAAAGGGAAACTTTCAAGTGAGCAGATAAGCATCTTGATGCTGGAGAATTTATGACATTTGATTAAACAGGATGAAGCTGATATGGTACAATGTTGCCTCTAGGATATCTTAATTCTAAGCATGCTCAGGTCCACTCTCAGGATATTATCACAAAAATTTGGCAGTTAAAAGACACTGCTATGATGTGGGTGGGGGGGAATAGTCCTTGGATATACTATGATGTGAACTGGATATTGTCAAATTATTGTTTCTAATGATTTTTGCTTCACTCATAGGCATTAAGCCCTGGTCAAATATCATGGAAATCCTGGAAGAAAAAGATGGCGTTGACACGGAGCTGCTGGTTTATGCAATGACTTTGGTGAACAAGGTTGGTTGATGTGTTATGTATCAAATTGTGCCCTCAAAAGATATATATTCACATCTTAACCCCTGTACCGGTAAATGTGACCTTATTTGAAATTAGGCTCTTAGCAGATGTAATCTGGTGATGATGAGGTCATCAGGGTAGACTCTAATCTGGTGTGTTGTCTTCATGAGAGGAAAGAGACACAAGGAAGATGATGTGAACATATGCATGCAATGAAAACAGTCATGTGAAGACCCAGAGATTAGAATGACATGTATATGAGCCCAGAAGTGCTGAGAACGGCCACCAACCATCCAGGACGAGGCAAGGAGGGAGCTTCCCATCGAGCCTTCAGAGGGCACAATGGCACTGCCGATGCCTTAATAGCAGATTTTCAAATTCCTGCTTTAAGCCACCTAGTTCATGGCACCTTGTTTTAATAGTCTGTATACTAATATGTAAAAACCTAGTTTTTCCTTCACAAGCCACACTGTGTGGAGACCCCCATCATGGCAACTGGAACCCCAGCTGCTTCACAGGAGAAAGCCCTTCAGGCTGTGCATGGTGTGTGTGGATGCATGCACACAGATGCCTGGGCCCATGAGGGTCTGTGGGTGTCTATATGCTTTTATGCTTTGGTCTTTCCTAGTAAAATGAGAAAGTTGACAGCAGAAATTTTGTGATTGTTATTCCTATTAAGGTAATTTTAGGGTATATCTTAAGAATATCAACAATTTTACTCTAAAGAAATAGTTCACAAAACAGGAAAAAAGTCTTTTGTTCCATGGGGAACTAAGTTTGGATTCCTTGGGCTGAGATGAGGTTTCCTGTGAATGGATCCCATCCTCCTTATATGAGAATGACTGCACCTTTGCACTCCTGTCTCCCCTTCACGTTCCTCTCTGGTCACTGACTACTTGCAGGGCAGTAGCCGTCCTTAGACCTAGAGATGCTTTGAGGCAGGGGGTCCCATAAGGACCAGATTTGGGACTGGAGCTCCTTTTTTGAATTGTTATACCCTGGACCCAAGGCATCCTTGTCAACTATCCTGTGGACTTTCCTCATGTGCTCCAGCTTGTTGGGTGGGAACCTTCCAACTGTAGTGATAATAAAGGCTTCAGAAAGATCCAGAATCCCATCCTGGCATGTAACTGGAGAGATGTTTCTCCTGATGAACCGAAGATGCATTCGTAGAGCAGTATAATTATAAGGAACCCTTTCTCCCACTCGGTAGTAACATGTGCCCACTAGAAGGATTGAGGGTGTAATCTGCTGTTTCCTCAGCAGTCTGTGGACTCTGCTTAGGAACCTGAAACAGACCCCAGTGTTCAGAACAACCTGCCACACAGTTGGGGACAGGGTAGCTTCCTCCATGACTGGGGAGGTGTTGCTAAGTGGAAATACAATTGTTCTTTGACTAGATACCACAATAAATCCCAAAGAGACTCGAGAGTTCAATGTAGCCCATTAAACTTGAGGGGGGGAAATGTAGAAAAGGGGAGTTATATTTGTCTAGTTGGTGAAGATGCCAACTTAAATTGAGACAGGCTGACTTTGCAAGAACAAGGAGTTTATTTGGGATAGCAAGGGATTGCAGCCTGGGATACACACACAATGGGAGGTCACAGGCACGTTCTAAGAGGTTATGTTTAGAAGAACACATGTAGGCTGTTCTGAAACAAAGATCATTAGTTGCAGGAGTTGGAGCGAGCTCATTGGGGGAGACAGCATTATTAGCCAAGTATCCTTAAACAAATAGCTTATCTGGAACACTGCAGTTTTCAGGAATTCCTTGGATAGTTCGTAACATGGGTATACGTGCATGAAGGCCCATCTTTTTGTGGCGGCCTGGCTCCGTTCTGTTTAGGTTTGACATAATTCGATTTTGGTAGTGACAACTTTCACGAAGATTCTTTTTACTAATGAAATCAATAAAAGGTTCCAATGGAAGGGATTTAAATGTCACTGCATAAAATTGTTAATGGTTTTGTTTGTGAAATGAAAAATCACAAACTATGCTAAAAGGTAAAGGATAAACTACAAAATTGTTTGCCAGAAGCAAGGCAAAAAAAAAAAAAAAAAAAATCTTAAGTACATTTTAGAACCTAGCAGAAAAATGAAAAAACATTAAAGCAACTAAGAATAAAAAAAAATCAGTGAATCAAGACTTTTTTCTGCAGCTACATGACAATAATTGCTTTTTAATGAGATGTCCCTTGTTGGTGAGCCCATAGGAAACTCTCATATGTCCCAATGAGAAATGGAAATGCACACAACTTTTCTGGTGCAAAGCCTTAAGAATTCTGCCACTTAAAAATCTATTTGTGTGCTAACTTCATGTGATTTGAAGCAATTTTCTGTTTTTTTCCCCCCTCAAATTAAGGTCCTCTATTTCCTGTCCTTTTTCTGTCCCTGACATTGTTTTGTTGAAACATTAGAATCAGCAAAAATAGAAAATACTCTTGCCTGCAGTTCATCACAATCCATACCAATAAAATTGTCTGTTGTATTGGAAGAGGCCATGCCCAGTCGTGTTTAGGATTGCAACAGCACCTGGGTGACATGGGAGCTCTTGTCAGTTGCTGGCAAGGACACAGTGCTATGGGACACAGTATGTGTCTCCTCTGCTGGATGTTGTGGCATTTAATGTCCAGGAATGCCTCCCTTGCTCCTTTTCTTGTGGCAGTTCTCATTTTTTGTTCTGGCTTAGGACAAGTCCAGAAAGCTCCTGGAGGATACTCCTCCAAGTGGTAACCCTTTCCTTAAAAAGGTCAAGAGACTGCTGCCACTCATACTGGGTTAGGCGTGTTTATTGCCCCAGTGAGTAAGATGCTCTGAGATACCAAACAGAATAACAAATTGAAATGTTAAAATGGGTCTGGAAGAAAAAAAAATGCAGACTCTGAAATCTGGGAAATTATATTGCAAGTTGGGTGGTTTCTAACTTGTATCGATTTCAGCAAAATAAACGGTGGTGTAATAACGTGGAATTAAATAAATTTGACATTTTCATGGCAAAAACAAGGACAACAAATCCTAGCCTGCCCAGGGTTCTGAGACTGAAGTGGGTCTCTTTGTTAAGGGATGTTAACCAGACTCATTATCCCCCGCCCCCCCCCCCCCCCCCTTGCCCTGTCCCTTGTCCTCAACCAGGGCTTCAAAAGATCAGAGGGAATGTGAGAAATTAACCCCTTCTTACCCTGATATTATGCCCTGTATTGACCCAGCTGAAATCCCCTTGATACTCCCCTATTCTAGGGGTCTCGGGTATGGATCAATGTAAAATAAAATGAGGCAGATGCAGGGGCATGAATAATAGGAGAGGTTACTATGGGACTGCCCTGGGGAGAGGAGCTGCTTCCAGGCCGCGGAAGTAATTAACCCATGTGGCATTCATACTGAGTTTTTTGCCTGTGTTCTTACATTTTGTTACTTTTTACAGAGCACACAGTAAAATGAACTTTCCCTTTTGGTCTACAGCTCTTTGAGTTTTAATGTACGGATGGATGGATCTCACCTTCACAGTTAAGGGACTGATTTCGTTTTCCCCATGTTCTTTCATAGTGACTTCCTGACCCTCTTATCCATAACTCTTGGCGACTTGTTTATTCTCTCATCACTACAGTTTTGTCTTTCCAAGAATGTCAGATGCAGTCATACCCCTTGAAGGCCTGGCTACTATCAGGATAATGCCAGAGATCCTTCTGTGTCCTGTCTCTGTTGTGAAGACATGCTGTGTGCTTATACCTTCTCTGGAAGGGGGTTCGGTATATAAAGCTTCCCTCCCATGCACAACACTGCTGGGAATATTGGCATGTAGGCTTTGCCACACTGGTTTTATTCTACAAAAAAAGATTTGATGCAATCCATAAAAACCCAAGGAGTGGGGGATGTCCTTTGGGACATGCTTTCCCTTTAGGAGATTCCAGTAAAGAATTCCTTGTCACAAGCCCTGCCAAGACAAAAATCAGAAAGTGGAAGTTGGAAGCACCAGGTATCAGGTGGCTCTCTTGTGGTATCTGAGGGTAAAGGTGGAAAGAAATATTTGTTTCAGAGTCATTTGGCAAAACTGTCACCTTCACCAAACGCAGGCAGCCTGGCAGTGAGGGTGACAGGGTGGAACTTGGAGGAGAGGCCCAGGGACATGTGGGAGCTTGGTAAATTAACTGAACTTGTTGGAGAATCAGCTGAAAGTAGATAAATGCATGTTTCTGGGAAGTCTCCCCACCCCCCATCATAGGCGGAAAAGGAAGCTGTTTGTATTTGTGGTGGAAGGACCAGCATCTCCCCTACAGCCAGGCACGAGAGCTGGAGTCCCCAGGCTTGGCTCAGATTTTCACAGCGGAAATGACAAATGACCTTTCAATACCTTTGATTTTGTGCCTATTATTGAGTGAAGGCTCCTGGAGTCTGTTTTGGTCTATAGATTTAGTTGTTTAATTATTTAATAGTGATCCCCCTACCCTTCATGGTTGGACTCACTGAGGCAATGGAGATTAGGTCTAGGATTTTAATCCCCTGGAAACTTCAGAGTGAAAGAAGGTCAGCTGATTTCAGGTCTGGAGGAAGGGGAGTGGAGAGGCAGAGACATCCTTCTGGCTGTGTAGAAAGTCTTAATTCTGATTCTAAATGTTGAAGTGCCTGCTTTCTCCAAGTTGTATGTTTTATAGGGTCTATAGGCAGTAGGGCATCTCTATTTGTCCCCTGATCCTGGGACTGGTATTGCCATTTTAAGAAGTTCTAGAGTTCTTGTTGGAACCAGAGGATAAGATTGTCCTGATAGGATTATTAAACTTTCTTGGTAGTGGGAACTGAACTTCAGCCCTGAGCTACATCTTTTTAATTGCTTAGCCTTGCTAAGTGGCTGAGGCTGATCTTGAACTTGAGATCCTGCTACCTTTGCGTCCCGAGTCTCAGGGATTGCAGGCTTGCACCACTGAGCCCAGCTGAAAATGGGATTCTTTGTGATTTCTTGGTTCATGATAGACGCAAGCGCTTGGGTGACTCTTGCTACTGGTTATGCAGTGTTGACTGTCACATCAGTTGCCCTGGGTTCATGCTTGGCCATGCACATGTGAGAATCTGTTTACTACAGCTGATTTACAGGCTCCTCTCTCATACCCAAACTGTACCTTTTACTGGAGTAATTCACTACCACACAAGCATTTTTTCATGAGTTCCTAATCTTTTTTTCTCCACTGTTTTATTTTTTTAATTTTTCAAAAAATAAATGACAGCGGAATGCATTACAATTTTTATTACACATATACAGCAGTTGCAATGTGTAGTATTCTCTGCACAGAATAAAGAGGAATAAGCCATTTTGGGGGTTATTGGTAGATTTCCCTTCCAGTGTTGACAGCCCCAAAATAGATGTCAGAATTAGGGCTGGAAATGAGGCCTTAGAAGCCTTGATCTAAGGTCTTCTGAGGCAAGTTAAACCTCCTTCAGAGTCACTTTGGAAAGCATGCAGTGTTCTCAGAAATGCAAAGGTGGTGAAGTAGGTAGGGAATGGAGACCAGTATCTGAACTTTCAGCCCAGAATAACTCCTGCAGAATGCAGGTGTGTGCATGAAGTGGAGACCTAATGGCAGCTCTGAGCTGGGATTTTATCCAAGGACTTCCTCTTGACTCAGACAGATCCTGTCTTTCCTTGGACCTCTCTCCCCCTCCCTGATAAGACTAGTGGCTTGAAGTAGTTTTCCCCAAGGCTCCCTCCCACTTCTGAGCAGGGACCTGGTCTGAGCCATCCTCCTCCTTTGAAGAAAGGCAGAATTCAAAGAGGAGTTGGCTTTTTCTCAGGTTATGTGTTTGTCTTATGGTTGCCACTTTGAAATTTCTCTTTTTCTGAGTTTCATAGAGTGAGAGGAGGCCCTGCTGAATTAAAAGGGAATCACTAAATTATTATAACACCAGCTGTTGGTGTATTGATTATACTAGGAGTAATCCCAAGGTATATTAGTTTTCTATCGTCATGTGACAGAAATTTAGTTACTAGGATGGCATGCTTTTACTATCTCACAGATCCTGTGAGGCAGAAGGCCAGCATAAACCTAGCCAGGGTCCCAGAGGGCTGCAATCTAGGTGTCGGCCGGGGCTGTGGTCCCCTCTGAGACTTGGTCCTCTTCCAAGTTCTTATGGCTATTGGCAGAATTCATTTCCTCACAGCCAAAGAACCCATGGGGGTCTTGCTCCTCCCTAGAGACCAGGAGGATAATCTGTTTCTGGTCTCTGAGTCAGTGAAGACCTAAGCTCTCTTTTGAAGGACTCACTGGATTATTATTCAGAACAATCTCCCCTTTGATTAACTCAGAATCGACTGATTTGGGGAACTTAATGACACCTGCAAAATCCCTTCGCTTTGCTGCATAACATGAGCTTACAATGATGTGACACCCCACTGTATGAGTATTGAGCCCATATTCAAGGGAAGGGAAGCAGGAATCTTGGGCTTTATCCCACCCCTCACATTAAGGAGTTTTCTCGCCCTCCTGAAATGAATGTGCCATCTGCTTGTTCTATATTGTTATAATCAAAGGCCACTGGCTAACATGTAAAAATGCTTTCAGAGCCTTGTGACTGTCTCTTAAGTCGTGTCTGTATTGGGTTCTTCTTTCTCCAGACGTTGTCAGGATTGCCAGACCAAGACTCCTTCTACGACGTGGTGGATTGTCTGGAGGAGCTGGGTATTGCTGCTGTGTCCCAGAGGCATCTGAACAAGAAGGGAACTGACCTGGACTTAGTGGAGCAATTTAACATTTACGAGGTAATAGAACATGTCATTTGTAAGTCATCTTCAGCTTCAGCAAATGTCAAGGGCAGAAGTCACGTGCGCTGTGGACCAGGGGTTCTGGGTGTGGCATAAGAGCATCCACATCAATTGAGGGGAATTTGCTCAAAATGCGAGTTCTCAGGCCCCTGCAGGCCTATTAAATCAGAAATTCTGAGCGTGGGCCCAGCGATCTGTTCTGTAACAGCCTTTCCAGGAGGCCCTGATATTTAAGTCTAAGACCTTTGATGTAGGGGAAACTTGGAGCTATTTTATTTTTTAGAACATGGACCCTGTCGGCACCTTCAGTCAAGGAGTAAGGGGTTGGGGGAGTGTGTGTCAATGAGAGAGATCCAGCTACATAATTTGTAGGTCCCAGTGGAAATCGGGGCCATTTTGTGGGGATAAAAAGTGCTTTTAAAGATACTCATTTTTTTTTTCCTGCCTTTATGATCTCTCACCTTCTGTGTGGTTTTATATTTTTTTTGTTTTTTGGGGTTTTTTTGCTACATTACATCATAAGGAAAAATTAAAATTTATTGGGAATGTTACTGCTCATCTTTGTATTATGCAATGTCAGTTTAAAATGCAAATATAAGGGCTTTAAACTTGTGGGCAGAATCGGCAAAATTGTCCCACTCATAATTCGTAGCCCCTGTGTACACGTATTTCATTCTTAACCACAACAGGGGAAATGCTGTACAAAATCAACTTGACTATTTTCATTTCATTTCTCATTCTGTGCATTCTACCAATGTTCTGCCTTCAGTTTACTGATGAGTGAAGCAGGGTTGAAAGAAAAAGGATCTCTGGGTTGCTCTGTCTTGTCATGTTTTCTCATTGTTTCAAGATAAGCCATTGACTTAATATGGGGAAGTAACAAAGCGATAGAGCCACTCGGGGTGTTTTCTCTCTGCATTCAGCTCCCAGAGCTGTTGGCACCCCTGCTTACTTAGCTGTGGGTCTGTCTCACTCTCACATATCTTAGGTCTACCTGATCCTATGCTCATGAGCGACAGGAATCGCAGATGTGGATATGGTACCTATCTCCTCTGCCTACAAGCATGCTCCTGGGTGCTACTGGACTCGCATCACACGGTTACAGATAAAATTTATAGGAACAGAAGCTCATTAAATCAACCGCAGGTCCCTTGTGAGCATGGGCCTTGTGTAGCTGATCCCAGCTCTGCTTTAGATTATGTAGCTTGGTTTCATGGCCTGTTGAGTTGGGGGGAAAAGATTCTAATATTCTGCCTGAGTGCATGTACCTTAATACATATAATCAATTCTCTAGTTTTTCACATTTCAATTATTTCTGAAGTTTCAATTACAAATGTTACGACAAACTTCTTCATTCTTAATTATTATGTATAACTAGAGTTCTAGGGGAGAGATTTCTCAGTTTAATGGTTCCATTGTGATCTTTATTAGGTGGAAATGCAGACATTGACATGTAACTCATTATTTTCTGCAAGTTAAGTGTCATAATAACTCGAGGAACAGCAGAATTGTATTTATATACTCTGGAGAAGAAATTGAACGCCAGATACTTGCTTGCAGAACTGAAAGCTTCCCACATCTGCTCATCTGGTCAGATCTTTGTGCCCATCGTTTAGGCATCTTCTCCAGCTAAGATTTCTGTTTCTCCCTACTAACCTGTAGCACTGTAAATCAGGTGGTGGAGGGGTATGTTCTCATGGTTCCTAAAACAGCAGGAAAGAATAATAAAGAAACTGTAGAAGGATGGGAGTTACAGGGAACTGGTTTACATGAAAGCAGAAGACAGACTTTGGTTATCTCCTTTCCCTCGGCCCTTCTCCACCCTGGTCCGAACTTCTATCTCTGAGACTCTGCTCCATCAGAGGTGCAGAAAATCCCAGCTTTGGATTCTATAGGGTGCTTATATATCTAGAAGATGGCATGATGCATGTGAAAGTACCCTTAATAAACCACTGGGCAGAGTATTAGAGTAGCCTTGATATGTGCTCCAGGGCACTAGAAACTTCTTGCTGCTCAGGTGCATTTTGTTTCTTGCCTGTAGGGGTGCCTCCCCATCTTCCCCTCTCCCTCCATGCCCAAGTTTTTAAAAGTTGCTGTGTTTTTGCCAAATTTATATTTGAGCATCAAGTATTTATCATTGACAAATGTAGCATTTATAGATCATTTAAAGAAAGTAAGACAACCATCTATGCAATAGCTTCAAGAACTAGAAAATTACTGCTTGGAAGCATCCCAGATAGCCCCTTTGATGTCATCCCACTACCCCCACCTCAAAATTATCTTTTTATCATTTTACCTAAAAGCAGCTTAATCTGTGAGCTAACACAAAGGATCAGATTAGCAAGTCAGAATTGACCACAGATCTTGCCCACTAACTGTACTAATAATTTTAAGAATGCAGGCTATTGAGGTGCATGTGAAGCTGGGATCAGTCTGAGACATCCCTTGTGACTCCCCAGGTCCTTTCCTCATGTATCGGACATGTACTTTGACCAATAATAACAGACAAGATCCCTGAAGTTTCCGGGTCACCTCGCCCAGCGAAGAACATTCAGTTATGAAATATTTTCACATCCTTTCTCAGATTCATAGTTCATACACCCATACATTCTGGGTTTATTTATTCTTAGGAACATCTTGTTAAGGGCATTCCAGGAATAAGAACTCAAAACAAATATTTGTAGTCTTATTTTTTAGGTATTCCAGTTGTTAGCACACTTAGATTAACTGCCATCACCTGGCTGTCTCTTTCCCCAGAAGCATCTATCCTCTAAGGACTGTAAGGACCCCAGACCAGATGCTTTAGTTACCTCCTCCCAGTCTGTCCCTAAACAATATATTGCCAGTTTGCAAGCTCCTTATAAACAAAATCATATTTGGATCCTTCTACTTTGTGCCCCTTTTCTCAACATTTTTGAGACGGACACCAAAATGGGGAAACCTAGTTTGTTCATTTTCACCAATATATCACCTTTATTTATCTTGATGGATGTTGGCTGTTTTACAGTTGTGCGCCATGGCAAACGATGCTGCTGTGAGTGCTGTGCTTTCCTTGGGCTGGGTGGGTGGGTGGGTGGGTGTGGATGCATGAAGTAGATGTTTAGGTATCAGTTTTATTCATGCTTCATAAAAAATACTTTAAGTTTTTTCTTCACATACTGGAGAAGTTCACATGGCATTTCATTCATTGCCTTTGAAGGCTTGTTAGAATTCCCTTGGGAAATTGTGTAGACCTGTGACAGTATGATAGGGGAGGATAAAGAGTGGGGGAGACCTTTGGTGTCTTAATGTTTTTTCTTATGGCAATTTGTTTAAACTTCCTAGCTAGGAATAGTGGTGCATACCTGTAATCCAAGCTACTCAGGAGGATGGCAGGTTCAAGGCCAGCCCCGACAACTTAGCAAGACCATTTCTCAAAAATTTAAAAAAACAGCTATGGATGTAGCTCAGTAGAATACCCCTGGGTTCAATCCCTATTATCAGAAAAAAATAAAAAAAAAACTTTTCCCTAACGGGATCAATTTTCTCAATTATAATTGCCTAAGAAGTTGTATTTTTCATCTGACTTAGAAAATTAGGAAAGACAAAGTATCTAATGAATGTTTTAAAGTTGGTCTTTCATTAGTTATTACTTTAATTCTTTGTAACATTTCCCCCTTTTTCACCTCTAGTTTAACTAGTGGTTTATTCATTTTTTCCTCCAATAATTTTATGTATGATTTATATTGTTTTTTGTTATGACTTGATACATTTTGCTTTTGTCTTTATAATTTGAGTTATTTTTCTAAAATTTTTTTGAGTTGGATATTTCTTTTCATTTACCCATCCTAGGATTCCTGTACTATAACTCACCTGGTTGTGATCCTTTTAAAAAAGTATTGTTGTAATTCTGTTTGCTCTTTCAGATTTTTGTATCCATATTCATAAGTAAGCTTTGTTGGAGTCCCCTCACCCCTATTCTTCCTTCTCTTTGCTATACATCTTTCTCAATTTGAGCAGCACTGTTATACCAGTATCATAATAGACTTCCTGGATACTTCCTGCACAATGTTGCTGGTGGCTGTCTGGGTATCACCAGAATGTCTCTGTTCCTCCTCAGTGTCATCCCTTGACTCCTCCTTCCCTGTCCTCTCCAAATCATTGTTATGTCCTATTCAGACCTCCCTGGTCAGTTTATGACCTGCCTATGATTCACCTTGGTGCTTTCTTCCAAGGCCCACAGCTGCCTGCCTGCCTGGCTTCCTGGTTTTCACCTTCAATTTCATTCATTCATTTGAGGCTTTCTGTATGTCCCACACTCTAGTAGGGATGTAAATAACAGATAAAAGATCTGTCCCTGTTTCCAAAGACCCTCCATTCTGTATTCTAAAGCAGGTAGGTAGCTGTTTCCCCTAGCAGCTAGATACAGTGATGCAGAGGGACCTCTATACCTGACATATCACAGCTGAAGCCTGCACCCTAAATGCAACCGAGTCCTACATGAACCCCTTATTTTCTTCCCCCAAACAAAAATCCTTTGTTTCTCCACCTCTACAAACAGCAGCGTCTGTGAAGTTATAAATGTAGAGTTGTCCTGGACTCCCTTATCTTTCCCGGGTTCCCACATTTAGAAGTTTGATGTCTGAAAGACTTTGACCCTTTCTCTGCATCATTCCCTAGCCCTGGCCCTTGTGGTTTCTTGCTGGTACTATTTATTGCAAGATCTTCTGATTCATTCGGCCATCAATTTTTACAAAACTTTATTAAGCACCTTAGTGCCAGACACTATCTAGGACTCAGACATAGCAGTGAACAAACAAGACCAGAGCAGCACCCTAAGGGGGTGTAGTAACCAAGTACACAAGTCAGAGAACCCAGGACTGTGAGCATGCCTCTCCAGAGGCAGATTGAGAGCTAGGCATGGCAGCTCATGCCTGTAATCGCAGAAGCTCAGGAGCCTGAGCTGAGGCAGTAGATCTTGAGTTCAAAGCCAACTTCAGCAACTCAGAAAGACCTTG